TCCTCCCTTTCCTTCTGAGAGTCCCCCAGGCTACCTAGGCAGCGCGTGCTGGCTCCTGAAGCTGGACTCTCATGGCCTCACTGCAGGATCCTTGCTCTGCAGCCCTGTAGCCTCGGCTCCAGGGGCCCGGGCGCCCCTACCTTCTGTCAGTGTCCTCCTCCGGGTACCTGTCCACCACGTTGATGACGTCCAGCACCACTAGCCCCACGCACAGGATCTGTTTCTTTTCCATGGGGATGCTCCTGGAGCTTTCTGCCCGCCTGGCTGATGGGGCTCCTCCTGAGCTCGGCTTCTTATTCCCGAGGATTGAATGCCCGCTCCCAGAAGCTGCCCTGGCTCCTCCTCCACGTGCGGAGCTCCTCCTCCAGGGAGCCTCCTGCCGCAGCGAGGGGTGCCGCAGGGTGGGGTGCAGGGATCCGAGCAGGGCTCTTGCTCCCGACGCCCACCGACCCAAGCTGGCCTGGGAGAGCGACCCCGAGGTCTTGGTCTCACACTTCTGAGTATCAGGTTATCTGGCTCTGCTGATGGCAACGCTTCTTCCCTCTTCTTGGTCTGTTTCCTCACTAGTCAGACCGACTTGGAGTTGATGTAAGCCTCTCTAACGCGCAGCCAAGCAACCTCACGAATGCAAAGAGAAAGTGCACTTGAAATGCACCACCTGCCTCGCCCTGTCCTGCACCTGCAGCTCCACATGAGATCTGGACCCGCGGGGTTAAGCCAGGTCTTGCAGCCCCAGCCCTGCCCCCTCAGCCCCGGCAGCGGATGGCGCTCTAGCGGCTTCCCGCTCCTCCCGGAGGTCCTGCCTTTCCCAGTCGACGCCCCTCCTCCGCCGCTGAGCAGCGGCTTGCTGGGTGGCTGTGCAGTCACGTGGCGGGAGACGCAGCCGAGCGCGGCGGTCCGGACTCGCAGCGCCCTCTGTTGGACGTCGGCGGAACCCGCGAGGCGGTGCGCGCACTAAGGGGCTGGCGCACCTGGCGGCCCGCGCCTTCCGAGCCCAGGAGGCTGGAGAGATGGCTGTGCGGAACCCGTGGGCTCTCCCGCATCCCCGCCGCCCAGTGCACTCCCTTCTACCCCAGGGCACGTACTGGAGCAGATGTCTTTTTTGTTTCGTTTTTTAGAAAAAAACAGGTGTCTTTATTCCTGAATAGTTTAGTGTGGCAGTGGGGCCCGGAGCCTGCTCGGGAAAAGCCTGGAGCCCAGGGGATGGCCAAAGAGGGCCGGTAGGGGGAGCCAAGGGCGGGAGGACTAGCTCCCCCGCAGTCCGGGTCCTGGACGGAGTTCTGGAGAGGGCACCATCAGGCAGAAAGTCTGGACTGAAAGAGGGGACGCCGGAGTCCCCGTGCCCGACGCTCTGCGCGCGGGTACCGCGGCGGGCCCGGGTGCCGAGACTTGCGGAGGGCTTGGTCCCTGGAGACGGATCCCCGGGGAGCCCACCGCCCCTATAGGCTCTTTGGCGGGAGAGACACTTCAGGCCGGTGTGCCGGCCCCTGTCTACGCCTGTTCAAGCTCCACGTCCCCGTAGAGGAGGGCTCCGCTGAAGATGGTGAGGGGCTCCTCCGAGTGCGCCAGCTGCCCCATGACCAGGTCGATGCAGACCGTGTCCCCGGCCTGCAGCGGCAGGATGAGGCTGAAGACGCCCAGGGCGCCCGGGCTGGGCTGGCTCTCGGCCACTGGCTTATTCTCCAGGCCCTCGGGTTCGTAGCCGCCGGAGTCTATGCGGGCCACGCCGAGGTTGGAGCGGGACAGCACGGCCTCTACTTTCTCGTGCCGATGTCCCGTCAGCACCGCGCTCAGCAAGTAGCGGCCGGCCAATGGCGCCGTGAACACACCTGGGGACAAGGATGGCAGTCAGGCGGGGAGACAGCGGCTGCGTCTCAGAGTCCTGGACTAGGAAGGGATTCGCTGGGTCTTTCCACCTTCATTCCACTAGGATGTAAACTGCAGGAATTTGGCGTTCGGATCACTACTGCATCCCAGCACTTCCCAGTGCCAGGCAAGGGCAGGCCCCAGCACGGTTCTCCCCACCCATCCCTCAGCCCAGGCTGGGTGAGGATGAATAAATGAAGGGAAGGGTAGAGAGACAAGGTTCACGCTGTCAGAGGAGGCAGGATGGTGAGGCTCTCCCTGCCGGCCTCACCCAGCCGGTCACCCGACTTACCTGTCTCTGGGTCATAGTAGTCTCCATCATTGAGTAGGACTCTGTCGAAGGGCACTGTTCCTGGTTCCGAGCGGGGCAAACTCAGGGCAGCAGAAAATGCCACCCGGGGCACAGAGACTGCTGGTGCCCCCTCGGCTCCTGGGTAGGGGTAGGGTGGATGTTAGAGTCTTTGCCACACGCAGTGCCACTCATCCCCTTCCCATCCTGAATGTCCACCCCAGGGCTGCTGGGCCACTTTCATCCTCCGACCCTTAGTTTAGTCCTTCTGCCTCCAGTGTAGAATGAGAGAAACTCACCCTGTTCACCTTGGGGACCTGGAAAGACAGGAGGAAAGAAAGCGGTGAGTAGAGCAGCTCTCACTAAGTCACCTGACAAACCTCTGCTGAGTCTGTCCCAGTGCGTCGGCTGCCTTGTGGATTTCAAGGCAGTGGTGGGGGGTGGGTATTAGGAAAAGGAGGAATAGGCAGGGTCTGCTCTGTTCAACTGCTGGGCCGTGAGCCTAGCCCGGGTCTTTCCCACCCCAGATAACCCTTGTAGACTCAGTCTTAGCCTCCAACACAGCTGTGGCACCAACGTGGCCAATTAGTTAAACACAGTGGCTGCCCCAGCTCCTGGTCAGTCATGGGGGACCCTTACTCCTCACCCCTTCCTCTTATCAACCTCAAAAGACAATGTCAAACCCAGGGCAGTGCAGGGTTGTAGTAAGGGTCTCAGCTCACATACCTGGTGGCCCAATGGGCCCCTGTTGTCCATCCTTGCCTGGAGGTCCTGGAGGTCCAGCAGGGCCTGGGGGTCCCTGCACCCCAGGAGGCCCTGGGGGCCCGACCTCACCTGCAGGTCCTATGATGACAAAATTAAGTTGAAGAAGAGCCAAAAGGAGTTTCCAATGGGGAAGGGAGGCGATGGCTCTGTGGACAGGGAGATGGCTGAAACTGGTGAGGCTGTGCAGGTGGAGGGGGAGCCGGGTCCCTCACTGTCCATGCTGGAAACCTGGCTGTGGACAGCATCCCACCTGCACCCACAGGCCTATCTGAGCAGCTGGAGGGAAGGAAGGGAGCCACGACCTCGCAGCCACTATCTGTGGACAAACGATAACCCCTGGGACAGTGGTTGGGGCACCACGTCGTGCTGGGCAGAGTGAGGAGGCAGCAGTGAGATTGAGGGCTCTTGCGAAGTGATGAGAGGGGAATGAAAGGGACCCCCGTGCCGCTTCTTGCCCTCACCGGTGAGGTCTCTCAGGCTGAGCTGGTGCAGACGGTCCTCCAGGAGCAGCAAGGAACTGTTAAGGGTACCCAGCCGTTTGCCCAGGCCCGCCTGGCCTCCAAACAGCTTCTCTATCAGGGCTGCCTGTGTCTGGCTGGTGCTGTTGGTTTCCCGCAGCCCAGACCAGAGCCCTGCCACGTGTCGGGAAAGGCCCTCACGCAGGCCCTGCAGTCCCCCAGCCACGGTGTCCAAGCGCTCACAGACTCCCTCGAGACGGCCCAATCGCCCCTCGAGGCCGGGGCACTGACCGGCCTGTGCCTGTCCCTCCTCCAGGCCTCGAAAGCGCTCCTCGCTCTCAGTAGCATGCTCTGTGGCCTCCTGCTGCAGCCTGTTAATCTCAGAGATGATGCTGTCCTTGGTAGCACCCAGGTCGGCCAGGTCAGCACCCTGGCCCTCCACGGTGGTCTGCAGCTCATGCAGTGAGTCGTTGAGGGAGCTGAAGGTGAGAATCACCTCTGAGAGCTCTCCTTGCAGCGCCTGTAGGGCTGAACCTGAGCTGCCTCCAAATACGCTGAAGCCATCCAGAGGCCCACGGCTTGGTCCCCCAACACCTGGACCAGCTCCAGGGCCCCGTGGAGGTAAGAGGGGGCAGGAACAACGCTCCACACCATCCCGAAGACGGCCCAGTTCCTCTTGGAAACCACCACAAGCCCCACAGCCCTCGTCCCCTCGGGCCTGCAGCAGGCTCTCCAAATGACCCAGCCGGGCTGCTGTGAGATTCAACTGCAGTGCGAGTTCTGCAGCGGTCTCGTCCTGAGTGTCTACGCGGTCCTGGAGCCGGCTCATGGCCCCTTGCAGTCCCTCCAGCAGGACCTGCTGGGCCTCTCCTGCAGCTCCCACCTTGTGCAGGCCTGAGCCCACCAACCGCAGCTGCCCCTCGCTGTCCAGCATCCTGCGCTCCAAGGCACTGAGGATCTCATGGACCTGAGAGTCCTGCTCCCCAGGAGCCCCAGAGCAGAGCTGCCCACATGCCTGCACAGCCCCTGCCACCTGCTCTTCCAGCAGACCCAGCCGTCCCCCCAGCTCGCTGCTCACATTGGCCAGCAGACCCTCCAGCTTCTCTAGTCGGCCCCGGGCAGCAGGCAGCCAGTGGCCCAGGCCCCCAGGCCGCCCCACCTCCTCTGGCCGCCCGGGGGCAGCGCCCAGCCAGTGGCCCAGGCCCCCAGGCCGCCCAGGCCAGCCTTCCTCCTGCTCCTCCGAGGGACCCAGGGTGGAGTTGAAGCGGTCCTCCAGGCGAGATAGGCGGGAGGCTAAGCTGGTGTAGCCTGGAGGGTGGCCACCCTGCCCAGTGGCTCCTCCCAGCTCCGTGCCCCTCCGC